ACTGGTTCAGATGCAATGTTAATACAATAAACTCAAATTTGCTTTTTATTAACTTTCTTAATTGTATAACATAAAACTAGAATTTACACAAGGTTATATTTGCATTTCAAAGCAAGACATATATATTTCTAAGAAATTATTTTCTGTCTTTTTATAAGATGTTCTAAGATAATTATTACACTAAAGAAGCTCATGATTTAAGACTTACTCAAAACTTGCCCATACACTCTAAATTTTTTTCATCCATATTTCTCATTGATTTTCTGTTTTATTCAGTGTCCTATTGAGTATCCTTTACTGAAAAAAATAAAAGCCAATTCCTACTTGGAAGGAAAAAAGTATTAATAAAAGAAATGAGTGTTTACATATAGCAGAAAAATCACTTTTGTCCCATTTCCTAACTGATTATAATACTCAGAAGCTTCCCATGTTTTTTTAATTCAAGCCACCAAAAAGCTTTTATTTCTTAAATTTTATTATTATTATTATTTATTTATTTATTTATTTTGTTTATTTGTTACTTTTTTGAGACAGGGTCTCACTATGTAGTTGATACTGACCTGGAACTCACTATGTGGCCCCAGCTGGTCTCAAACTCACAGCGATCCTCCTGCCTTAGCTTCCTGAATACTGGGATTACAGGCATGTGCCACAACCCATGGCTAAAAAAGCCATATATATGTTATGATTTAGGTTTTGTTTGCATACCATGTTCACTATGAAAAAGTTCATATCTAGCAGTAAATTCAAATTCAGGTTAAGAGAATATGAATACAGTGATTTTCCCTGTGTTACCATAATTAGATATTAAATTTTCATATCTTAAAATACAATGTTTAATAAACAGAGGCAACAGGGAATTTACATATACTGGGTCCAGGTATTGACTTGAACAAATATGCAAATAACTGAAATATTTTACAGTAAAAAGAATATAAAATAGAAAATGTTCTGATATAAAAATTTAAAAGAACCAGGTTCTAATTTCATGTTTTCATTGATTATAACATTGGACACCTCTTTATATCACCATTTATGCATCTTTATGATGAATAAGTGAAAACAGGAGCTCTAGAAGGTCCTCTTCAACACATAATGGTATGATTTTTTTCACTGTTTCCTACATCTTCTCACAATTTATTTACTGTGAATAACTCATGAGATTTGTGCTAACTTTTAATGAAGTGGTTATTTTAGTATTAGAAATGCTCATTCAAAATCTGGGTGTGGTGGCGCACACCTGAAATCCAGGCACTCGGGAGGCTGAGGCAGGAGGATTGCTGTGAGCTGTGGGCTACCTAGCAAGGTCCAGGTCAGTTTCAACTACATAATGAGACCCTATCTCAAAAATAAAGAAAAAAAAAAAAGAAATGCTCATTCATTAGTTTATGAACTGCAATAACTGTACTGAAAATAGGAGAAAGCGATTAACTGAATTATGAAGCTTTAGCTTTCAAATATCTTCTAGAGCTATCATTGAAAGAACTCAAAGTCATACACACACACAAAAGTGAGACTGAAGAACAATATCTCAGAAAACGCTAATCCTCAAAAGTAAAAACTTGTATTAAAGTACAATGGGAGAACTTAGGTGAAATAAATTAAAGGTTGTAAAACTTACTGAATGTCACCTTTATGTGTGGTTGAATTTCAGAAAAGTTCCTTTTAATTTCAAAAGTAAAATGAAGCATTTTAGAACATAAAAATAAAATTTATGTACTCATATACTTAGATAATTTCTTATGGAATATTACATTTATCTGTTAGTTATTTCATACGTACAAACTGCTATAGTCATGCTTTTGTGTGTGGCCTTGAAACTGTACTATAAAGACCCTGGGTGAGAAATAAACTTTGCCATTAGCCATCAGCCTTTGGTCATTCATTGTGTCCACGGTCGTCTCCCCGAGTCCCCTCCTCTAGGAGACCTCAACACTCCCCCAAAAAATAATTTACTCTAGTCATTTTAAAAGAAAATCACTTACTACTAAATACTGTTTATGAGTCTGGTAAAAACAATAACTTATTATATTTCATTTATCAGAATCTCCTAAAAAATATGCATTGGAATAATCAAATACTCTAAAATGGGACAACTTAATTGAAAGAATAGGGACGGGGCATAGTTCATACCAGTATTTAACTGTAAATCTTAAGTGTTGAGTGTTTTATATACTACATTACTTTTGAAAATGTACCAGGCTCCAGTATAGTTATTGATCACAAATGCTCAGAAAATAGACCTCTGCAGGAACGGTATAGCTTTGAGCTTCTGACCCATCCTTTTCCTGCTATAAAGTGCTAAGAAGTTCATGGAACATATTCCACAGAGACACACGCACTCTTATTTCATGTTTATATCTTCAGGAATAAGAGACAAATAAACCTGAGCTCTTGAGGTCGGAATTTTGAGAGACTCGGTAATATAAATATACAGATCTATTTAAGACAAAACTTTCAAACTCTTAGTAAAAATGTTTTAAAAAATGTATTTCGAAATGTAACTCAAAGCTTATAGATATGTACTTAGGTGAATTCAACAAATTAAAATATTTTATATAGTTCATTTTCATAAAATTCTATTATAGTTTCTCATGGACTGTGAGGCCACTAAACTCTGCTATAAAACTTTGTTTTAGTGAACTGATTTACATACAGTCAACACATCTTTGCACTATTTTAGTCATGTAGACTAGTAGACAAGTTTCATCTCTTTAAAATTTTAATCTTCACAAAATATATCTTCTTTTGTTTTTTCAAGTAAGACAAACCACAAAATGCCTGGGCCAGCCTAACATCCCTTATTTATGTATTTATTTTTCCTTTTGGTAATGCACAGAGACCTCTCCTTTACTGACACCCTCTGGTCTTTATTGCTAAGTCAATTTTGGTTTCAAATCACATTCTCACCTCTACCTGCAGGTAGTGAAAGTTGTAAAAAAATTTTTTTAAAAAGACATTTTAAGCAATATACTAGAGGCAAGCCTGTTTCTTTTCTAGTAGGTTCATTTAATTAAGTACAAGGTTGCAGAAAATTTTCATAAGCAACAAATTTGTAATGGTTTTTCTTACAGAAACATGTCTGTGTATGTTCACGATTTGATTTTAGTTTATGTCTCTAAATTATTGACCTAATGACTATGGGGCTCTAGACCACATACCAGTTGAATTTCCTCTGCTCACCTTGAGAATTGCTCAGCTATGTCAGCCATCTATCGAAAATTCCAGAACTTTAGTTTTTCAAATGTTTTCCAAAGGCACCCTGGTACACAAACCTCACAATTCACAAGCAAAATGCAGCATTTATTTACTCATTGTGGTAATGTTCTTTATTCTAGATTTTAAGGATTCTAACTTTCCACTTAGTTTTTTATGACATCAGAAAGAAATTAAAATTAGCAATTTTTCTCTTCATTTCTCAGTTTCTGAAAGTTTTAAGTAATAATATTTGAAGGGGCCCAACATGTCCTACATAAAGCGTTGGCAATTATATTGTAATAAATATTTCACTGCCTATTTCTATTATGCTTTACTATTATCTTCTCACATTCCAGCCCAGCTAATTTCCAATTGCTTTTATACCACATTTCCTATTTGTTTAAACCTTTAACTCTGAAATTTGTTCTTTCTTTGAATAAGTTAGTTTACATGTAATGTATCTGCTTCAATCGTTTATTTTATGTGGTCATTCTTATACAGTCATTTTATTTTTATCCATTTGATCAGGGCAAATTTGCTTGTCAGGTTTAGGGCTCAATATTGGTTTACACAAAACCTAAGAGTGATGTAAGCGTGAAATAGGGAGATATGCAAAGAAACATATGTGAGCTGATCAAAATTGAGTACTGCCCTTTCAAGAAATGATGCTCTAATAATGGCAATCCCTTTATATTTAGAGATAATAAAAACCACGATGAACCTTAAACTCACAGTGATATTCATCAGCATTTCTTCCGTTCTGTTGCAATACAGTAGTAACCAATTATGTTTCCATTAATTTTTAAATTTGACTTTGTGCTTTTAAATCTTGTATCTTGATTAACACCAACACTTAAAATCCTTATTGCCACAGATAAAAGTCAGAATCAAGATAGAAACAGAGAATTGCTGAAAACTTATCTCTCTTAAATTAAAAAGATGAATTGCACATAAGTAAAGCATTGCTCACAGAATAGGTTAAAAGTTGTTTTGCTGCCAAACCTGCATTCAAATAACCCACTGAATTGTATTCTTCATGCATGAGGGACTGTACAATTTAAAAACAAAAGAAATCTAAAATTTGTACTGGATTCTTGTTCTTTTCAAAATAAAATCTTTTAAAGCACTTAAACATTCCCAAGTTGTTACAACTTAATGTGAGATCATATATACATACATACATATGCGTGTTTCTGTTTTCATAATAAAACACGTTCCTGAGCATATTTTCATATTAATCAACTTGGTCCTACACATTTACCAGAAACAGAAAAGCTCAGTATAATCCAAGGTATTGCTTTCTCAGTTCCCCAAACTTTGCAGAACTCCACTTATGCAGCGTCCCTGTTGAATTTTAACAAGTTGTTGCATTTCCAGATGCCCAGTGATTTGGGCTGTACCCTCACCAGCACACTGCTCAGTCATCAGACATCCAGTCCGCACCTGAGAACAGCATCCTGTCTTCTGAACAGTGACTTTCTTGTGGTAGAAACATCCTTATCCTGTCCTGGCATTTACACCTTCTAATTTATCTGTATGCATTGTTTACTCTTATTTTTACTGGTGTCCTGAGATATATAAATAGATTACACTTACTCTTGCTTCAACTTTTCAACATAAAATCTTAGCTGAGAAAAACAGCACTTCGGCAAAAAATAAGCCTCCTCTGTCAGTTTTTACATTCTGCTACGTGGCCAGCATGGACTGCTGCGCGCGAGCAAGTGTGTCAGAACCCCCGGGTGGCTGGAGAGGCAGCGCAGTCACGGAGAGCGGTCCCTGGCGAAGGATCGCCAGCCACTTACCCGTGCGAGGCCAGGCTCCCCCGTCCTTGCTCCGCGGCTGCCGG